GCTGCCAGAGGCAGAGCTCGTCACTCAATGTGCAACACAGTCCACAGTGTTTGCCCAGCCCCTCCAAGGTCTCTGCGAGGTCCAGTGGCCACGCACAGGTGCCAGAAGCGCTGGCACCCAGCCCTCATTTGCTTTCCAAGTTATAGCAGTGGACATCTCCTTTCCCCTTCCCATCATACCCAGGAAGCGGCTGTCCGTATTTATCCACGCACCAGCAGTAACCTCTCTTTCGGCCTTTTGATGGGCGACACTGAGACAGAGTAAAAGACCCAGTTAGCATTATTTTTGTTTTATCCGCTCCTAGTGTTATATAGCAGGGATTCCTGCTCCTTTGATAGCTGCACTTCCATATCCTGGCCATATCTGACTGAGTCAAACAATATTTATATTACCACTACAAAGTATTACAATGCAAGCTTACCTGCTCTGCCTGTCAACCCCTTTGTGTCTAATTACTCTAGAATAAAACTGCTCTGAGAACTGCCTGAAAACAGCCTTATAAACCACTCCCTATTACATAAGGCAGCACAGTTGCCCCCTTTGAATACCAGGACTACTTGTAACAGTACGGCCTGGTGACTGGGACCTGTCTTTGGAAAAGGAATTTAACAGATTTGTTCTGCACTAAAGCACAGGTCTGACAAAGACAGCCATTGCAACAATAAACACCCTTGGCTTGCATCTGTTTGCTGGAGGAATTTCAATACTGTAGTAGACATTTATTAACAGGTACATAATACTTTTGTAATGAAGTTATCACTTCAACAACTGCTAGGTGTACTAGAACTTTTTATTTTCCTATAAATAAGGTTGCTTATATACTAGTCTATAACCTGTGTCAGCTTTAGAAGTTGCCTGGTAGAACTTGCCGGTGCTGCCTACCAAGCTGAAACTACCACTAGACAAGCAATGACACTGAACTTCTTTAGAAATAGTAATGGAGTAAAAATGCATTATAAAGTCTAGTACATACTAAGCAAGTAATGCTCTCCACAAGGAACCAAGAATGGTAAAAACTAGACTAAAGGAGATGACAGGCTGCAGGTTGCATTCGGTATGCAACCCTAGACATAGTTACATACTGTGAACCTCTGGGACCCTGCAAGGTTTACACCCCCTTGAAAGACATGTCTCCAGGACACAGATTATCTCACTAGGTTGGCCATGGTCAACCTTCTTGCCAAGACATAGCCTCCATGTCAGCTCAAATTGTGAGATTTGGCAATGCAGGATTCGCTGCAAATGCTAACAGAGGTGGCTGTTTAGTTAGGACAGACTTACAAAGGAGGTGGTGACACAAATATACGCAGCTTTTCAAGGACTGAGGTTGCATCTTGTTGCATCACCAACATGAAGGAGGATAGGCTAGACTGAGGTCACTTATGGCCCTCAACGCTGTAAAGGCTATCTTGCAAGCAGAGCAAATGCTGCGTCTGAGATCACACTCACAGCAATTCAAATATTTCAGAGGCTAAGGCTGGTACAAGTCAGGTAAACTTTGCCACTACTGCTCAACTACTTGTTCTCCAGAGTCTAACAGGCACTTCCCCATCTCTCATGTGGGCAAGGCAGTGGCTCACAAATCTAAGTGTCTTTTCCATGCGCAGGTACACAAGGAAACATCAAGCAAGTGTTGGGCTTCCCATGCTGCCCAGAGTGCCTGACCCCTTTCCACATCTAGTTTAGGACCGCAGGTGAAAGGGTGGTATTTCAGACAGAACAGTGAACTTGGGTCACTCCTGGGACAGCCTGCACCAGCAAGCCCCTGAGCCAACTAATTTGTGGTGGCACGGAGTAGGGTAGCCAGTCTTCACTAGAAAACTTGTGAGAGAGAGGTGGGAGCAGATCACACATTGGACACAAATTTCTGAACAATTTTCCATCTTGTTTATTTTAGAGTAGTGTTAATTGTTGTAACTGCAAATTAATCTACCCTTGTAATATATTTTTGAGTAACAAGCCCAATGCAGAAATAATACAATGCCTTCTCTTCTCTGAATTTGCAGTCCTTCTGCATTAGTCCTATGCAAATAGATGGCAGCAGGATGACAAGATCAAGCTTAAAGTCATACCAGCTTCTTTTAGGAGAGGGTGAAGAAGTTCAAACCTACTGAGAGAACAGCTATATTAATATTTGCTAAACTACGTGGTTAGCTGAATTTGAGTTCTAGTTACCTGTTTGGCTGTTTTTCTGAACTAAATCTTTAAATGTAAGTTTTACAACTTATGTTTATTGTCTCAAAAGCCTGACTAGGGCTTGCGTGTACTCGCTGCAATTTCTGTGACTGGCTGCTCAAAGTCCACTGACGTCAATGGGAAATCTTCCTTCAATTTTGGTGGCAACTGGACTGGACTGTAGCTTAAGTAGTATTAACATTTAGTGACTTAAATTCTTCATGCTCAGAACTGAGGAATTCATAAACAACAGCCTTTGCACAATTTAAATTTTACGAGAAGGAAACTGAGGCAGCAGTTCTTGAGTTGTTTTTCCCAAGAGAGCAAGCACAGATCAAGCCCGAATTAGAGCACAGGGCTTCTGGCTGCCAGCCTGGTGCTCCGGCAATGAAACTACACTTCTGCTAATAATAGTAACACAGACTCCCCTTTTAGAAGTACTACATGAAGCATGTTACTCAACTCTCGCTGATTCATAGGCTTGCATCACTGTCAAAACAAATGATCAATTAGAAGTTATCTCACATTGTTGGAGGTTTTGATTGCTTTTTACAGTTGCATAATCAATTGTTGGAATTAACTACAACATGAAGTTAGTCTGCAGGAACACCTTCCCTACTACTAATTTTAATTCTTCTAGACAATCCATTTGGAAAACAAAAGCCTTAGATCACTCTCCAGCTGAAATAACACTTTGTGAGGAAACAATTTACCTTTTCCAATGTGCTACTTTGTACTACCCACTCAGCCAAGCTGTCAATAGTAAAGCACTTCTGATTCAAAAGTGATGCTTTTATCCTGAAGCAGCTAGCTTGCGTTCCCTACTGAAGTGGTGGACAGTTCATATGGAAAAAAATATAAATAAATATCCACTCTTCTGAATTTTGCACTTCACATACATTTCAAGGCTCTGCCCAGCTCTTCTGTATGACTTCAGAAGTCCAAAAAGCTGGAAAACTGCCCAAGTGGTGGAGCCAGTAATTACTTCTGATAGAACCAGCTGCTAGCTTCCATGCCACCTGCCCCTCTCCCTTCCACAAAGAAGTGCCACAGAGGCATTTGTGGGGCACAGTAAGGCATATGGTATACCACTGAATTCCTGGTCATCCCAGGGGTCTCTGTGGACCTACAACTGTGGTCTCCCAGAACAGACTGCAGACAGCACTGACATATACCTCGGGCCATTCCAGCTCCCGCCAAGCCCAGCTCTGTTTTCAGTGGAACGATGCCAGCTCACATTTAGGTGAGTATCTGGCTCCAGTATACAAATATGGGGCAATTACTAGAATTGCCCCATGTAATAATTCTGATTTCATCATACCCTTTTTTTCCATGCTTGAGGCAGAAACGTGCCATATTAACCTATTCCATGTAAATATACCTATACACCACAGTTGAATAGTACAACCTTACATGTGTGATTTATTAAGACAAAGAATTCTAAATTTTAATAGGTCTAATTTTAAAAAAAGTTATATATAAACATAAGGTGTGAAATATTTTTCATGTTATACCCTGACAGATAAATTTATGTTCTCAAAATTGTTTCACAGATGCAAATTACTTCCTATGGCTGCTCCTGAAAAGTCAATTTCTAGTTATCCACAAATGTCTTGAAAAATAACTACTTTCAGCTTGACTGGAAGAGCAGGTGGCCAGGAAGGTAGAATATACTAACATGTGAAGTGCCTCCTGAATGAGTCTTAATGGCTTCCAAGGTGATCTCACCATTTATCAGATAGGTGTGTGATGGTTGGAATCTACATTATCATCCTAGGCAGTGGTTGTGGCAGCTGTTCCCTGAATTAAAAATGCCTAGCTCACACTCATTTTTTGATGGATCTCCTGTCTATTTTTAACCTATTATTCTGAATTTTGTTGTCACAACAGAATGTAATTGAATTACAGACTGAATGCTGCTAATAATAGCAATGAAGGAAATTAATAAAATAGCCTAGCATTCTTTTAATGAGATTAGACACCTGCTCACGGTGCCTAAAATACCAGACTTATATGTTGATGCTCCAAAAAGAAAACACAATTGTCGCACTGCCCTGCAGACAGTGAATTCAGTCTGGACAGGACTGACTCACTTCTTAAAAGGACACTTTTTTCTAGGAGTTAATTCTACAAGGGCAAGTCAAATACATTACTTTTGGCTTATGTGAGAAGCAGCCTGCCTCTGTAAGCCCTACCTGTGAAGGCCTGTTCCCAGGGTTGACTGAGGTTCATTTACAGGAGAAGCACTCTAACTGCATTTTATGTAGAATATTTACTCACATGGGCTCCATTTGTGGGCACCTCCTACAAGATCCCAAGTTGTCTCAAGCTACCATTGAAACTACTGGACCTGTGTAAATTGGCATGGTGCTTGACAAGGCTGGCCAGGTATGAAAGTGTCCCTTCATCCTCTATGTTTGCTGACCAGACAAGCTGCTGCACATAGGGCAGGAACCTTTCCTAAAGCAGTTTTAAATTCTCCAGGCAGCATGGACACTACACAGAGGGCAGAAGCAAGTCTTTGCTCTGTACCAACACCTTATTCTCATAAATCAACTTCAAGGAACAAAGACTAGGTAAGCATATTATCTATCTTGCCTATTTTTTTCCCCTCCGTATTTCCCTTTTTTCTGCCTCAGTGGAAGAACTATGACTGCACTTTAAAGTACAGTCATCCTTTACAGTAAGGCATTTTAATACATGCTTACCGTGGATCTGATTTACTACACACACATGCCAGAGACTGCGTGCAAACCACCACCTTTTTGCTGACAAAGCAAAAACTTCAGAGTCTGAAGACAGATGAAAGGAAGATCTACAGAACAAACTAAATACCAATCTGTGGTCTTCTGTAATACCTAGAGAAGGAAAAGGGCTACAGTATGCTTGTGTGCCTTCAACACAGTTAAATGATGTGCTGTTCTAGAGTAGCTAAGGAAATGCTTTTATGGCACAGGCACAGTCCTAGCCTTACTTCACACAGCAGTCAGACCTATTTTCTGAACAAATGCAGACCGAGATGTAAGCATTGCTCTCTGCTAGTTTACACACAGCGGGACATGAATAACACAGGCTTCTCAAAATTCCAGAGAACAATAAGAAACTCTGTCCCTGCTTGGGAGCTGCCACCACCTGCTCGGGAAAAGCTGGGGAGCGTAGACAAGCTCAGCAGTGTGCACCAAAGGTCAAATAGTGCAGTCAAGGCTGGGCCGATGGCAGAAAGGAAGGCTGGAAACCTCATCCCTATTGCGAACACCCCACCTGACACTGCCAGCTTAGCGCAGAGCTCCAGGGAATACCCGAAAGGGAAAGTCCATTTCTAAGAAAGCTGAAAGCCAAAAAATGGAGAGGTACCATTCCTAAAATAAGGTTGCCTGTCGGAGGTTGGCCTCTCACTTCCAACCAATGAACTGCATTAGCTAGTAACAGAGCCAGCCGCTCCTTTGCTTACCAGAGATAGAGAGGCTGACTTGTGTAAACACGAATGGGAGAGGCATGATGGTCCACAAACAAAATCTGTCCTTGCAGAGGATTTGCCTTGAGAAAAATCTTAAAGATACTTTTGAATTCAGGAAATTTTGGAATTATACCAAGAAACACATTTAGAGAAGGTCACTAACTAAACACTGGAATTAGATGGGATGTGCACGCTAAGCAAAGAACCTGGCACATCTTGCGCTTCCCCAAGTTCCTGAATTAGCTTCAAGGGCAGCACTGAGTGAAGAATGCTGCCATAGCTCAACCCAACACAACTAAAGCATAAATACCTGCAGTTTAGCTCTGCATTTGTCAAGAAAGGTCACAACCCCAGAACCAAAGAGGGCTGAGAAACCATCCTTGCTGCAGAGTTAACTACTAGATGTATCACTTTCATGATAACATGACCTGGATTTTGGAAGCAATCTGTGTATCGGACACAGGACAGATATATGCCTTTCCCAAGTTGCCTTTGGTAATATGATCCAGTGCAGTTCTTCTAGGAACTCTCAAGCAGCTATTTACAATTCAGAGCATTGATCTATTGCAGTCATATGGTGACTGCAACATTTAGCTCTGTGGGTTATTACAGAGGCACGGCTTTTTTTAAACCAAAGGGCATTAGTATCTAGGACACCACCCAACCCATGTGTGATTAGGTATGAAGTTTCTCAAGTGAATGTGTTGTCATGACCAACAGAAAATAAAAACACTGTCCCCACTTGACAAGGTTCAGCACTATCAGATCAGGGCCTAAAACTGGCAGTGAACTAGTTCCTCTGTAAAATGACACATAATGCACCTTGCTGGCAAGATCCCTTAGCAAAGATGCAGAAAAGGTGAAGTGCATTCACTGAAACGATCAAGGCTCTGTACTTACTTGCTTTTTCTTGTAGAACCCCTTCTTGTCACAATTTGGAATATGAAAACCCCTGGGACTCAAGACATTCAGGATCTTTAGGTGGTTTAAAGTGTCTTCCATTTCTCTGCGACAGGGACCCTGTTAACGAGCATGTTTTAGAAAACACAGATGAAACTTCATTCCCAAATGCTGTCTTTCACACAAGAGTAAATAAATCTTTAAAGGGCAAGAAGCACAAACCCATACAAATCCGTTAAAACAAAGGGAAGGCTGGATATGTCAAGAGGCAGACCACTCACAGATAAAATTCTGACTTTGCGCTTCAGGATAAACCAATTTCTAAACACTGAAGGCCCTATGCTATGCTGAGGCACAGACTGGCATTTCCAGTTGAAATCACAGCCACATACACATACAGGAAAGCTTAACCATTATGTAAATCAATCATGTATAACATAACTTAGATTTGGAAAACCTGGACTTGCACAAAGTGGGAAAAGAAGAAGGTAGACAACTGGAAATACACCACTTGGTAGATTTGCCCTAATGCCATTTGATTTTTGTGATTCTGCTGGATTTAAAAGCTTAAATGAAATGGATTTAATTGAAAACAATTAGTTTGGCATAATGTATATGTATATATATAAATACTGCAGCTTTGGACAACAATTCCCAATTTCCACTGGACCAAATGGATGCAGCCACGCAAAGGAATGGTTGCACACAACGTTCTCATTGGGTAAGTGTGTCACTTTTTGCCTCTCTTTCTCCATCTGCAAAAGGCTGACAACAACGTAATGAAGATTAGCTCTAGGACAATGAGCCAAAAAGAACTTCCAGAAGCACTTTTAAGAGCATGTCTCAAACACCAACTAATTATTTCTCTCTGCTGCCCTTCAGGCTAGGGAGTAAAGCATTATGAGCCCCACTTTGGAGTCAGAAAACCAGGAGCAGAGGAGTTCACGTTTTGCCAGAGGCCAAGAAGGCAGTCAGTGTCAGCAGTGGGATCAGGATTCAAGAGTCGCAGCCTGCAAACTCTGTGTTTAGCTACACTCCTGTCTGGGCACATCACTGACTCGGTCCACCAGCCCACTTCTTCAGCAGAGACCCCAAAAAATTCCTTTCCATGGCTACATGGGTTAAAACGTTTAAGTTGCTGTATCAACACAAAGACTCATTTGGTGCAATTTTTAATTAGTGAAGTAATGACATTTATACTTTCAAGTGGTAATATTAATAGTTTGCTCATGTAAAGAGCCTTTCATGTGAGTGTCTGAAAACATACGGACTCCACAGTTCTAATGGAGTTTTAAAACAATTTTTTTTGGTTAGCAAAGACCTTCCTTGCTGCTTTCATATGTTTTCTTTCAGTATCAATCTCACAAGCTCTAAACATGCGCTTTAAATTGCTGCTCTTACTGGCAGTTCCTTAAAAACCCAAAACTGCTCAGACATGCTGACTGCAAATCACACATGCTCAAAGGTTTGGTCCCGAGTTAGGCCTACAAAAAGATCATCAGCTTTTTTCTTTTAATTATTATTTTGAAGCAGGCTTCCAAAGTCAGAGAGATCAATATCAAAAACTAACATGCAGACACAGCTAGAAGGGCATTTGCTGACAAAGGCACCTGTCCCCAATGGACTTCTGATTCTTACAGACACCAGCAGCCTTGGTAAGTCGGTGAGCCTTTGCTCATGGGGCCCAACTACCACGTAAGTGAAATGTTCATCCTAGTTAAGACCAGGACCCCATTTCCTCAGAGCTACCAAAGTTCATGCTGTTACTGTAGGCAGTTTACTTCATGTTTCTGGAAGGAGGGCATGCTAGGAGGCAGAGAGTGAAGTGTTTTTATTACACAGCTGGACATCAGTGACAAACTGAATCTGCAGCTTCAGCACCCTTGCTGTGTTAACTTGGAGGCCATGCTCTCTTCAGACACAACTTTCCACCTCATACAGGTTTCAAAACTTTCTTTTGCAGATGGGAAGCCATGTCTGTTTTCACCACAACTGATTTGATGAAATGCCAAAGTATATCCAGACATATTTTTTGGGCTATCTGGCACAGGCACAAGAACAACCACTGGGTTATCAGCCAGGATGTCCAGGAAGAGGAATTGCTCTCCCTCCAGATTCACCACACTCCGGCTGCCCTGCAAATCCACGAGGCACAGTCAGTAGGAAGTGATAGCTGCTCACGTGCCCGTAAGCCCCTGCATTTAGGCAGTAGCACCAAACAGTGACTGCAAGTGGAGGTGGTGTTCAGCATGTCATACAAACCAATGGCTGATCAGTCAAGATCCTAATCCTGAACCCACACTAAGTTTATCTCCCTCGATTTGCACCGTGGAGCATGAACGCAGTGCCACTACACTGAATGTGAAACACCTTTTTTCCATCATTGCAACCCAATAATGCTGTTTGAAACCAAATTTAACGATTATACTATTAAACCTGTCCCAAGTCCACTTACACAAATGTGTGATCATTACAGGGGGGGAACAAGTCATCTCTAAGAAATGACTTAGTGAAAATCATACTTGTATCCACGTCAACATCACTGTGTTAGGCCTCCGTGTCTTCTGAATGTGATCTACCTGGTCTGCTGACTGTCTGCATTTGAAGATACAATAGTTTTACCAGTGAAACAGCTCGAGTGCCCTGAACAACTACGACGATTACCACCATTTAGTTATTTAGCTTATTTATCTTATTGTATGCACAACATGCATATACATGTGCACGTGCTAGGAAATGCCTTTCCATTTACAGAATTACTTACGTATTCAGTCTCTTGTTTGGATTCAGAAGAGAAGTTCAGTGTATCCGTACTCTGTGAATCATATTCCACTTTATAGCGCTGCGTATTTTTGGCTTGCACTTTCCTGATGATATCTATTTTGATGTGCGGTGGATGTGACTTGGAATCTGGCACCCTGTGAGAGTTTGGGGGAGCCTGATTTTCTATGCTGCTGGTACTCCGGTCTTCTTCTTCTGAATCACTGGAATTTTCTTCAACAACAACAAATACAGTGAAGAAACAATATTAACAAAATGCCAGCTG